CCATTAATATTTAACACTAGCCAATAGTAGCTAATGTAGTCGTCGCAGCTAGTGCGTGTAGCCTAGATTTGCCCAGTTCAACTTTCATTAAACCATGTTTTTTAATGGTGTTTGTTTTGAATCTCGATGAGAGGTCTACTGAGTTTGGACAATGATTGCTCCACGTCTGGACTCTTTGGTAATACCATTGATCAACATACTTTAAAATGTAAAGCCTCAAAACTAATTCTAAAACCAAGAGGTCTGAAATGAGATGAACAAAGCTCAAGCCGATGATGGCTTATGTTCATTAATGGCTAATGTTCATTAATGGCTAATGTTCATTTATTAGGAATGTCTAGGTGTTGAGTACGAGGGATGATATTACACAGGTCTTCCTGATATTGGCAAAATACCTTGATAGTAAAAGAGCACCGCCATAGTAATGTTAAAGTCAAAATTATTATATGAAATGATAAGAAGCGTACCTGTTGGACATCCATACACTCCTACACGCATAGATATGTGACCATGCCAAGTTCGTGGTCGAAATCGAATAGCAAGACCAACAACTGGTGTRACGAGTTTATGACTTACAATAGTGTTTCGATCAGTACTTCCATGGAAGACCTTTTTGAAATGATAAGTGATTATTACTAAAGTAAGTTCAATAATCGTAAGGGCCACGTGCATCCGAAAATCTTTGCGATCGTTTGTTTTGTTTTAGAAATGATCACATGTTTATAGTTTCTTTCCGTTAAATTGTTCAAAATCTGATATCTAAGATGGCGAATTTTCGTATGTTAGAAAATCGCGCAAAGGTCATTGGACGCACGTGGGCCTTTAATCATGTCTCTTGTGGCAGATTGTTTGTTAAATAACAGGGAATCATGATTGAAGTAATAGCCTACTTGTTATATTTTTTACATGAGCTATTGATGAAAATGTGTTTGCTACCTTAACAATGCCTCTTTCCTTATATGGTACGAAAGAAACCCCGTTTGTACTGTAGTCCAAAGCAAACGTCTTCACCCACTGATTGGCGTCGGATCGACCTTGGATTGAAATACGAGTGACTTTCATCTCCCGATCAAATCCAACTTGCAGATGCTGGTTAACGTCGTTTCGTCTAGCAGACCAGGCCCCTGTTTTGCCTCCTCCAGCAACGAAATCAAGTTTAGCGTTGGAAGCACCGTGGTTGCTATTCCATTCTGTCGATGCAGACATCATCCAGTCGCCAAGGTGTATCATTCCTCCACAAGGAGGAATTTGTGGAACAGGAAATCCTAAAAGGTTTTACAAATGTGTATATAATGAGACAGGCTCATAAATAGCAATAGGGTATTCCACGGATACCTCAGCCATTACGACTGCCTAATTATAATTCCATTGAGTATTCAAGATGATGCAGCACTTTAAATGTACCAAAATGTACAAAGAAAGGCTGTAGCAACTCAACCCAAACTCAATCTAGTCATTTTAGGCCGTTCTTTTCAGTGATGGTAACGATCACTTACTGTTCAATTTCGAATGACTAAGTATTCCGTGAATTTGTTTATCAGCGAGTCCATACGTATGATCATCATGCAATGGCTTCAAGTCGAGACTAGACGTTTATCTTTTGTCGAAAATACAGCCTAGACTAAAGCAATTGTTCCGTGTTCATTCAAGCGAGAGTGGGTTAGGTCTACTAGTGAAAATGTCTATTGACAAATGCATTTTCTTTTGATACAACGTTAACCCATCTTCAAATTGGTCGAAAGTATTCAGCATTTCGAATTCATAAAGAAACTATAAAAATCAACAAAACAATAAGAGAAAAGTAGAATTAAGCTAATAAAACGCACGGAATAAAAGTCCTACAATTTGTGATTACATCATTGACCATTTTGGTGCTTACCTTTTGTGCATCCATACAATTCCATCCTCATGGAAATATGACCATACCATGACATAGGGCGGACTCTGATGTGCTTAGCGATGAACGGCTTTACAAGCAAATGGCCAACTATCGTATTTCGATCATTGTTTCCAGAAAGGGGTTTTCCTTCATTGTAGTTATAAAAGTRACCACCGTCGAGACTGTATTGCAGCTTGTATGATCGAACCCATTGGTTATAATCACTACGACCCTGTGTAGCAATTCCTGTAATCTTCACAGGCTTGTCAGAATCAATTTGAAGCCATTGTACCAAATTGTTATACCTAGCTGACCATGCACCGGTTTTAGACCCTTCTTTTATAATATTCAGCCTAGCCCTAGCTGCATTGTGGTTTACGTCCCATATTGACGAGGCACTGATTCTATTGTCAGGCAAATGTCGACTTTGCATTCCAAGAGCCGCAGCGCATTCAAGTGGAGGCGTATGAAAATCTGCAAAAAACGTACAATTCCTTAAGCTTTGAGAAGATGAACGCAAAAACAATAAATAATCATTTTTGTACGCAGGCATTTGCTTATAGATAAAGATCGTGCTTCTTCTGTTTAAATACGGTTTTTTATCATTAACCGAACTTTTGGCCTAAGCGTCCATTTTCATCTTCTGTACCTAGGTTTTCATTCCTTTTCATTTAAATTAGTGCGCGCGCATTTTATGCCTTTCCTAGTTTCATCTCGAGCACTTTAGCGTTAGCTATGTGTATTACGTGCACTAAAAACCTTAACAATCTATGAATTAATAAATCTAGGCCAATTGTTTTGTTAGTGGTTGGTCAACAAAAATATCTAATGTCATTGATTATTTATTCATTTAACACGATTTTAAATAATTATTGAAACAAATTCAATAAGAATCAATAAAATTGTTCAAGGTAATTTTTCAGATGTCTAACCTGAAGTGCATCCATAAAACTCTGCTCTCATAGAAAT